GCACTGGCACAGGCTGCCCAGAGAGGTGGTGGATGCCCCATCCCTGGAAGTGTTCAAGGTCAGGTTGGACGGGGCTCTGAGCAGCCTGATCTGGTTGACGACGTCCGTGCCCACAACAGGAGGATTGAACTAGGTGATCTTTAAAGGTCCCTTCCAACCCAAATCATTCTATGAGTCCATTCTAGGATTTCCCTGAGGAAGCAACTCTGCCAGCACACTCAGGGCTGGCAAACAGCAGCCTGTCCCAGTCCGGGGCCACACGCCACTTGAGACAGCGTCCCAAGGCACTCCCTGCATCTCACCCAGCTTCAGAGCCCTCTTGCCTTTGGGTAGCTGCAGGTGGGCTCTCTTCATTTTTCTGGGCTCGTTCACCCAGATGCTGCAACCTACCCTACAAGCCATTCTCCAGGAACGTACAAGCCCAGGCCAGGCATGGTGGGACCGGAAAAAGAGAGGTCAGCATGGCAGGACTGCTCTCCTGGTCCGTCAGGATAACCCTTGGGATATTTGGCACAACTCCTCCTCACCTCTCTTTCTGCCTCCTCATGGTATCTGGCTGTTTCCAGGAGCTCCTGGAGCTGCTTTTGCACGAGGTCTTTGCTGGTGCATGCCCCAAGCGTCGTCCCGATGCATTTATACAGGAAGTTCTGGAAGAGCAAGAGGAACGTTACCACCTCGTGAAACCCTGCCGAGCCCTCGGAGGCAGACTGAGCTTGGTCACGCACAGATTACTCCTCGCAGCACGCTGGAGGCTCGTGCCCTAAAGCAAAGGTGCAGGACAGAGCCCGGCCGTAAGCAGCTGGGGCACTCGGAGCACCAGGGTGCACCGGGACAGAAGTCCCATGGCAGAGCGGCGTTCGGTCCAAGAAAGAGCCTCCCCACAGCGGCGCTCTCAGCTAAGCCTGATCAGCAGCTCAGCGTCAGAATACGCCATTAACCCCAGAAGGGCACTGAGCCAACTGCATTCACTGGAGCCAGGAACAGGTATAACGAAACCCTTGTTCCTGCCCAGAGAGAAACAAAGTCATCGCGACAGAGGGAGCACGAAGACAGATTTTTTTTTTCCAGCGATGCCTCCACAGCCCCTGGTGACCAGCCAAGCGAGGCTCAGCCCCGACTGCTCCTACACCCCTGCAGAAACACCAAGTCCTTCAGCAGCCACCTGCACGCGGGAGACCTCTTCCCTCCTGACCCACCGCAGCGAGACCTCCCCTGTCCTCTACCCTCGCCAGCCTGGAGGTTACAACCTCGCAGCCCACCCCTGCACCGGTGCGGTCAGAAACGGGGTCATTCCGTTCCTTCCCTTCTGCACCAGAGAGCTCTCTGCCTGGTTCAGCTCGCTTCTTGCTCAGCTTAATTACAGGCCCGTTCACAGCAGAAGTACTGCAAGCTGCAGAGACCACGAGTTGGGTCTGACCACCACAGGCAGAGCAACGCAGCCTGGCCAGGAGGTCGAGCCAGCAATTCGGCTGTGGACTGACCAGTATTTCATTTTCAAGCCTGCCCAGCAACCTCGCTAACCTCCTGCTGTTTCTTCTTCCCTCCTAACACCCCTTTCCCAGTGCCAAGCTGTTGGCAGAACGATGCTTTCGGAAAGCATCGAGAGCCGGATTGGCCCTGCCCCTGCGAACACGCCGCGGCGGGACGGGCAATGCCAGCCCGTCGATCCCCCCGCTCCCCGACACGATCACCTTCTCCAGCAGGAAGCCGTTGTAGCTGTTCAGCTGCCTGCACATCTCCGTGACGAAATGGCAAATCCACGTGTTGTCAGAAACGGCCGCCAGCGTCTCCTGAAGGAACTGCGGGAGGAAGAGCCGTCAGCTGCAGGCATCCTAACAAACCTGCTCCCGGCTAAGCGAGGAGCCTCAGCCAGGAGCCTCAGCCAGGAGGGGCAAGAGCAGTGCAATAAATAAAACGCGGGGGGCTTGCGTCAGACGTACCCAGACCCCCTGTCTGCACCGAGTGAGCACGTACCCCCCGGATCACCACGGAAGGCTCGCTGGCCCTTCGGAAGGCAGGCTGCCCACCCCAGAGTGGGTCCTGCCAGCACACACCCGTCCCCCCGACTCCAGAAACGTGCCCTTTTCCTCAGGGTCAGGTCTCTTCCAAGATAAACTGCACCCAAGTAACACTGCCATCATCAGAGGAGCAGGATGAGCCCTGCCCAGTTTTAATTGCTTCTCCATGCCCTATTTTAAGGCTCTCCAATTAAGTGAGGAGACACACTTGGGACTGCTGTTCTCCGACCCACCAGCACACCCGAAAGCTCATTTTTAACTTTCCCTGCAGGAACTGCAAGTCACCCTCTGCGCTGACCTGCATCTCCGCTTCCGAAGCGACAAGACCCGGCAGCGTGACGAGTGACGACCTCTGCCACCACGGTCAGGGTGGGCGAAGGTGAATACCTGCCTCTGCAGACCCAGCCCGTGCTGCTGTCCCGCGCGCGAAGCCCTGGCGAGCCCAGCCGAGGGGAGCTCTGGAGCCGGCTGCCGCTTGCCCTCCCACCACCCCCCGT